GTGGGTGTGTATGTGTGTATCCTTCAGCAATAGGATAAAATCTTGAGGATTTCATCCAACATTATATTTCTGAGATTTGTACCTATCAGGTACCCTTAGTTTTTCCATTTTCATTTTTATATAGAATTCCTACTATAAATATGACAAAATTTATTTGTCTAATTTTCTTCTAATGCTGCCTAAACATTCCTGTGTATGTGATGTCAGGAAGCCCAGGCCCGTGGGTGTTGCCTGTCTCAGCACTGAGAAACCCTGCTTCTCAGGCTACCTCATCAATATTATGTTGAAGCAGGAATAGGGGGTGAGGGGGTGCAACCTGCCAAGGAACTTTAACTTTAAACTTTTCATAATGATAATATAGAAATGAAATCTTATACAAAAGTAATTCAGTAGCCACCTGAATACATTCAGTGTCCTAGATTTGCACACAAGTGCAAAAGATCGTTCCTAAGAGAAATACTTAGGAGCGGAATTCCTAGGCCGTGGGTACATGCACTTCTTCACATTGATTCAGTAATACTGAATTGTGTGATCATCACTCATATGAACAGTGTATGAGAGTCCTGGTGGCCCTTTAACCTTGCCGGCACTTGGTCTTATCAAACTTCAATTTTTGTTCATCTTAGTTTTGTCATACTTCCATTTTTGCTCATGAAAAGAAGTCACATCATTGCTTTAATTTGTATTTCCTTGCAGGTCTGGAACTAGAGTGAAGGTAGCAAAGCAGTTAGGTCCCAAAGTGCCAGGAAAAATTCACTGTCATGGTCAGGAACATGCAGAGTGGACATTTGCTGTTTGTACAAACCTGAGAGTGAGATGCTCCTTAAATCTTGCACCCTCGGTAATTTTCTTGCTCACTCTGGTCTCATTACTACTGTTCATATTGCTTAAATAAAATTTCCAAACTGATTTCAAATATCTTGCCTAAATAAAATTTCCAACCTGATTTCAAATATCTTGCATCAGTAATTGGGTTTGAGACCATACTGTTCTTAGAAACTAAGTTAGCCTGTGAATGTTCATGGACACAAGGGAAGACATACAACTCCTGAGCTGAAAAAAAAGGACTTATGGCACAGCAAGTGATCATTGAATTAGCCTGAGTTCCCATATCCCCAGGTCCCATGGGGTCAACACAAAGGATACCAGGTAGATAATACCCATCTGCTGAGTTTACGTCACAGCTGAGGAACACTGAGTTGGGAGGGTTCATTATGTTCACAGTAAGTGGGAGCAAGCCTGCTCTTTGCCTAGTGGAAGATGTTGCCTCATCTCTCCACGTTGCTTGCAATAAATATAACTCTGAGAAATGTCCTGGGTAGCTAGCAAGCTGAGCCTTACATTGCTGGAACCCTCAGCAAGAATGTAACCCTCAGGATACCCAGGCCTCAATCCCCCACAGGGGATTGCCTGGCCCAATACTGAGAAACCCTCCTTCTCAGGACACCTCATCAATACAATGTTGAAGTTGGAATGGAGGTTGGGGGAAAGACCAGCCAAGGAGTTCTAACTTCAGACTTTTCATAATTGTGATATAGAAATGAAATCTTACATAAAAGTAACCCGGTAGCTTCCTGAATACATTCAATGTCCTAGATTTCAAACTTTAAAGTATTGCAGTATAGAGGAAGCATCAACTTGGATTACTCAATAGACATCTGTTACACTAATTTACCTTACATGACCTCTTCAAAATTGATATAAAAAACTAGATTCTCAGAAATTGTATTTCTTTAAAGCAATTTTCTGAGTTTCTTAAAATTTTTGCCAGAATCTGTAATCATACACACACAAACTTTTGTTTTAAAAGCTGTATACTTACAAAAGAAGATGAAAATGTTCTCTTGGGTAGAATCAGAGAAATATGTTTTGTAACAGATAATCTAGACATCTGAAAAAAGATTTGGAAATAATAAACCAAATATTTTGAACATATTAGCCAAAGTCTTGGACCTTAAGAACCGGTTGACATTAACTTGATAGTGCTTTTGAAGGAAATGAAGAAAAGAAAACTAGTATCCCTAATAAGAAATTAGAAAGCCATTGTTTATAAACAAGGAATTTTTCCATGAGAGGCAAATGAGGAGCTTGTACACTATCATCATGTGATCCCCAGCTCCTTCCAGTTACCCTAAACACATGGTGATATGTGTATATACTGACAGTGCATATTAAGAAGATTGATTACCACTCTCATATAAATTTTCTCTAAATTGTCCTTGTGAGCCAGACACTTATATAAGCAGATTCCAGGCATAAGAGCTGACTAATTTCAAGTCTGCTACAATTAAGATACAGTGAACTGTGCTACAGAAAAGCGAAGATTTAGTAGACTTTAACACTGATAAGAAGAGTCAGCTGAACTTAAATTGTGTGACACTAAGAGGTTTTATTGGATTTCTAATTCTAAAGGCCACGGCATAGGGTTGTTTCGAAATAGAGTTACTATCCATTCATCCACACCCCTATCCCAAAGGATACTCCTGTGCGTAGTTAAATTATACTCTCAAACTCAATGCTGACCCTTTGGTGTATCTCCCAAATAAGGCTAAGCTTTTCCTTTTCGGCCACTTCCAAAATGAATCCAGTTCATTCCTTTTTATTAGGTTGTCAACAAAGTCATAACACATTTTTGCATAGAAAAGCATAGAAAAATATGTCATGTCTTTCCCAATGATCTAATAGAAGACAACTGGTTTTAATTAGAAGGAAGTTGTGGGGTTTTTTCCAAATTAAACAAAACCCAATGCTGTTTTTCCATAGTAAGAATTTATTACCAGTCATAATCCAATAACAAACCATCGAAACTTGAAAGATTCTGTTAGACAGCTAAACATTTGCTTCAGTGACACCAAACAACTGGTTTGACTGAATTTTTCTCCTACTGAACCCACTAACCTAACTGGTTATTAAATGTAGCTTTAGATTTTATAGTTTGTTTTTGTTCATCCAGAGCAAACATGTATACATATGAACATGACTGTTTCTTAAAATCAGGATGATTTTTACATTTATTGCATTCCTTAGAAGAGGAATCCTTTGGAAACATGCACCACAAAGGTATGAGAGACCTTGGTGGTCATCTAATGCCAACGGACACGTTTGTCCTCTACACAAAAGCCACGGTGAGCACTGCTTCAGCATCCACCCGGACACCTCTGGTTGGGGTGGTCACTGCTGCATTGATCAGCCCTAGCTTCCAGAGTTCTTTCTTACACACGATCAAGTACTACCTTTTGCGATGTCTACCCTCTAGTGTTTGCTCTGTCCTCTGGAATCAAACTTACTATCACATCGTTTTTCATATGACATTCTTTCCTTGAGCTGTTATAAGTTCTACTAAAAAAAAAATTGCCAGTTTTGTTATTCTTTTGATGTAGGTTAGTGTTTATCCCCTTTTCTAGAATTTCTTCATCCAAGTTTTTGTCAAAGAAGCAGATTTCCAAAAAGAGAAGAAGGATATTAAACACTTGATCCTGTTCATTCCCTTGTTTTCTTGTAGGTGTTCCTTCTAGGAAGAATTTTAAAACATTAATAGCACTTTTTCTTGTGACATATTTTTGTGTAATAAAGAGACATAGACTTACCTTTTAACCATGTTTTAAAGATTGAATAGACATTTTATGTGATTTCTTTCTTTTTCTTTCTCAAGTCCCTTGTAATGATATATATATAAGTAACATTCTACTTGTACTGTCTCTTGCCAGTACTTTTACCCTTAGAGTCTTTTTATTCAATTACTTATTTATTTATTTTAGTTAAAAATTTTTAACTGAGGGAACCAGCAGTTAGTGTAATGGCTATGGTGCTGGACTCCCATGTAGTCGACCGTGGTTCACGTCCCGGACCCGGTGGCTTAAAACTCACGCTGGACGCGTGTGCATGCATGCCCAAGATCCCGAGAGGAGAATGGAGGAGAAGGGGTTGTGGCGTGGCCATCCCCTCTGGGGGGTGATTTCTCGCTTTCTGTCTCTATGTCTCTCTCTGTCTGTCTGGCGAGCGCACACGCCGTATAGCGAAAACCTCTCAAAAAAAAATTTTTTTAACTGAGATGGCATTCACATAACGTTAACTTAATCAGTTTTAGATAAACAGTACTTTACCAGCACAATACTGTTCAGCCATCACATCTACCTAGTTCCAAATCATTTTTATTAGCATATTTATTCTCCAAAGAGAATATATTCTTCACATTCAGTTTTCATAATAGCATTCTTCTTCTGGTTCTCTGACTTTAGAAACATTTAAAAGTTTTTTGGTTTTTATTTTTAACATATTTATGGAATTACTTGACATTTCCCAAGGCCAGAGATCTGGGAGACATTTCTAAACAGCCCTTGCCCTTGAGTCTAATTATTTAAACAAAGCGAAGTAGTTCTAGCGTGAGTGAAATGCTGTGCTTATATTTCAGTTTCCCACAATTTACAGTCAACTAAGACATTGCATGTCTGTGCCCGCAGCTTGTGAGTGTGACCCTGATGGGACCATTTCTGGTGGCATTTGTGTGAGCCACTCTGATCCTGCTTTGGGGTCTGTGGCCGGCCAGTGCCTGTGTAAGGAGAACGTGGAAGGAGCCAGCTGCGACCGGTGCAAGCCCCACCACTACGGACTGAGCGCCGCTGACCCCGTGGGCTGTCAGCGTAAGTGTACAGAGGCTGAGCGCGGCCTGGGTGCATTTTAAATGTCGATGCTGTCTCTTTCAGCCCTAAAATGCAATCTCTGTAAATACCTAGAGTCCCCCCACACACATACACCCGGCCTCTGGGTTTTCAACAGGGATGCAAAACCTCCCACAAATTTTAGGAACTTTGCTCTGTGGTTTACTGAATTTATCATACAGGACCAGCAGGGGGCGTTCACATTTTCCCCACTGGAGGAAACACAGGGACAAAGCCAAGCATTAAGGCCAAGTTGCTGCACGTTTAAAATAAATGGCCTCCACTACAGTTCTATATACAAATTCATGAGATTGTATTATGCATTTCTAAGAAATTGATAGTTTCTTGGGCAATTTTCAAGTTGTAGTTTCCTTTGGCAATTTTCAAGTGGTAGTTTCCGTCCTTTTTATGTTTTTAATTATTTTTCCTCGTTTTTCTTACACCCCTCCTCATATTGCTCCATATATTCTCTGACAAATAAAAGGAAAAAAGTTAAAGATCCAAGAGAGGGAGGAGTTGAGGGGAAATAGAAGGAATCTCAGCAGTTTTCTGAGACCAAATAGACAGGCAGATTTCTGGCTATAGGATCACAGAAGTTTAGAGCAGTGTGAGGCCTCATACAGCTGCAGATTCCTCAGGAAATCAGGGTAACTAATTTCTATTTGGTCATAGTGTTATTTTTCATATTTTTGCCTGTCCAAGGAACTATGAGTTATTTGTACAATTAGAGAGCAACAGACTGAATCTTTCTGTAACAAAATGTTCTTGAGTTTGAAGGTAAACTTAAATGTCATGATAATGAATTACACTATCAAGCCAATTTCTCAACATGCTCAACACTCTAGCCATCTCCCTGGCTCACTGACTAACCTATGTTCTCCAAGAATAGTCTAAATGTTTTTTGACGTGTGTGTGTGTGCGTGCATGCGTGTGTGTGTGTGTGTGTGTGTGTGATGGCTTTATTGAGATATAATTCACATACCATACAATTTACCCTTTAAAGTGTGTAACTCAATGATTTTTAGTATATTTGAATCAATCAATTCTAGAACATTTTTAAGGCCTCTAAAAGAAACCCCACTTCTAGGTTTGTACCCAAAACAGTAGAATGTGGGCTTTTGACAAGATATTTGTACACCCCTGTGTATAGCAGCATCATGCAGCATAGTCAAGAGGTGGGAATAACCAAATTCCGTTCATAAATGAGTGGGTATGCAAAATGGGATCTATACATACAAATGATTATGATCTAGCCTTAAAAAGAGAAAATTCTGGGACCAGCAGTTGGCGTAATGGCTATGTCATTGGACTCCCATGTAGTCAACTGTGGTTCCAGTCCCAGAACCAGTGGTTTAAACTCACACCGGGCATGTGTGTGTGCATGCCCAAGATCCTGAGAGGAAAATAGAGGAGAAGGGATTATGGCATGTCCATCCCCCCTGGGGGTGATTTCTTGCTGTCTGTCTCTCTCTTTCTGGCAAGTGCATGCACCCAATAGCAAAAAACTCTCAAAAAAAAAAAAAAAAGAAGAAGAAAAGAAATTCTGACATGAGCTACATCACAGATGAACTTTGAGAATACTATGCTAACTGAAATAAGCCAGTAAAAAAAAAAAGACAAATGCTGTATGATTCCACTTATATAAAGTACCTAGAAGCATCAAAATAATAGAGACAGAAAATAGAATGGTGGTTGCCAGGGACAGGAGGGAGGGAGGGTGGGGCATTATTGTTCAATGTGTATAGAGTTTCCATTTTGCAAGTGGAAAAAGAGTTCTGGAGATGGGTTGCACCATGATGGGAATATACTTTACACAACTGAACTGTGTACTTAAAAACAGTTTAGGGAACCAGCAGTTAGCATAATGGCTATGTCGCTGGATTCCCACGTAGTCGACCGCGGTTCGTGTCCCGGACCCGGTGGCTTAAAAAACTCACGCCGGGCGCGTGTGCGTGCGTGCCCAAGATCCCGAGAGGAGAATGGAGGAGAAGGGATTGCAGCGTGACCATCCCCCCTGGGGCGTGATTTCTCGCTTTCTGTCTCTATGTCTCTCTCTGTCTGGCGAGCGCACACGCCCTACAGTGAAAATCTCTCCAAAAAAAAAAAAAACAGTTTAGATTAAAACTTGATCTTATATGTATTTTACCAAATTAGGGGTGGGGGAAGCAACTCCATATCTTTTAGCTACTATCTCCCTGTTTACCCATTCTCCCAGCCCTGGACAAATACAAATCTAGTTTCCATCCCTATAGGTCTGCCTACATGGATATTTCATAAAAATAAAATCATGTGACATCTTTTGTGACTGGCTCCTTTCACTTAGCATAATGTTTTCAAGGTTCATTCATGTTGTAGCATGTATCAGTAGTTCATTTATTTTTATTGTTGAATAATTTTGTGTAAATATTGTGCTTATCCATTCATCAGTTGGTGAACATTTAGGTCATTTCCATAAACATTGGTTTTTCTTGCAGGTGAAGTGTGTACCTTGCTCTAGTAGCATAACTTAGCAGCCTTCACAGCATAAGGAGAACTCAAACAGTCTGTGAGTAGAAGGGAAAGAAGGAGAGAATAAAGAGAAAAAGTAACCAGACAGTAAGAAAGAAAAGTAAGAAGGGGGTGAGGTGATAGACGTGTCTGCCACAGAAGGAGCTGTTGGTAATAACCGTGACACTGAGAAACTCCAGCCCCTATGTCAGCCGGCCTAGACAGCATTGCTCGGAATAACTGCTCCAGTCCTCTGGCTTATACCACTTCCTTTCCTAACCACTGTCCAGCAGAACTACATAAGGGCTCTGGAAGTATCTGCCATGGATTTCTTGTGCATAGTTCAATGCAGTGCAGCAATCGTGCAGCCAGGCTTACTATACACCTGGAAGGGATCTGTGTTCTTCTGGTCAAGTGTCTTGCTCAATGTGAGCTATGAACATTTACAAGAGTGGGAAATTAAGAATGAGAATAATGGTGTTTGCTGTGTTTTCAGCCTGCGACTGTCACCCCCTTGGGAGTCTGCCATTCTCAACCTGTGATATGGATACAGGTCAATGCTTGTGCCAGGCATATGCCACTGGACCACACTGCAAAGAATGCGCTGTACGTACTTGCCAATAATTCTCCTGTTACATAGTGATGTGGATTTCTACTGACACTGCCTGCAAAAGACTTAGTCGCATTCATCTTTCCTTGCCCTATTTATTCCAATACTCTTATAGTATGGATATTTATGCTACAGAAATCAACCCCCTCTAACCCCTGCAGAAAGCTGATTTTAAACATTTACCAGAACACCACTGGATTCAACTAATCCTACCCAGGAACTAATGTCAATAGGTTTATCTGTTGTTTTTCTGCAAATGTCAGGAAATAGAATAAAACGGCAACTCTCTGCCCACCCTGGCAACCTTACTCTTTTTTTTTTTTTTTTTTTAACCTACCACCATGGAACTTTTCTTTTATCTGTTACACCTCATCTCCTTACCACCCCTCTCATCCCTACCTAAAAATATTTTGGACAAGCTCTTTTAAAACAACCATATAGGTTTAAATGTATTTTAGATTCCTTTGAAAAATAGACTCTTGAATTTTTTACAGACTCCGTTGAACATACAAGCTTCTAAGTTCTAAAATTAGTCAAATAAAACAGTTTCACTCCATAAGAAATATGTCATGCAACTGAGGGGTTCAACCCAACTCTTTGTTCTCCAAACTTGGCAGACCATGATGACATTTCAGAGAGAAAAATACAAAAACTTAACCTAATAAAAGAACAGTGACCTTGATGTGTCTGAAGAAATGTAGCCAATAAATAAGAAACATATGCCTATGAGGACATAGTTTTGTGTTAATATTTTAAGTTGTTTTACTGAAAACATATTAGGACGGGGCAGAGGAGATGAGAAAAAGAAGCAAGTCAGTAAATATGAAGAAGGGGCTCTCTGTAAAGCAGTCTGCTAATCTAGATGCCATACATCTGAGGGGAATTTCAAAAACTGCATAGGAGTGAAATTAAAGTATGAGTTTGTTATGGTGCCAAAAAATTGAAATTCATGCATAATTTTTGCATAACACATATTTTCCACTAACTTTTTTTTAGGTTTTTGTCATAGAGTGTGTGTACTCACTAAGAGAGATAGAGAGAGGGAGATAAGAGAACTTGTGTATAAACTAGTGTTATTAGAGGAACACACCCCAAGAGAGGATGACCATGCCACAATCCTTTCTTCTTCATTCTCCTCTCAGGATTTTGGGCACACATGCACCACACCAGTGTGATTTTCAAGCCACCAGGTCTAGAACTTGAACCATGGTCTGCCATGTAGGAATCCAGTGCCTTAACCACTGTGCTGATTGCTGGCCCCTCCATGAACTTTCTGAAGACTCCCCTTTATAAAACACAAAGATCACCCACACCAATCTCTTTGACCACGTGTGTGTAACACAAAGTGTCCCTTGTTGGCTAATAGAATCAACAAAGACACCAAATCAGGTAATTCAGACAAACTTTAGACTTAGACTTTTTGTCCTGGCTTGTTAATACCACTTGTGCAGTACAGACTCAGTTGCCTTTGCAGGAGGGAAACAACGGAGGGGCTACCCCAGAGAATTGCCTCATGTCGAGCCTATGCACCCACTAGGTGCTCTATACCTGCATCTATACAGCGCTGCCAGACTCTGCCCTGATGTGGCTGACATGACAGCACACCCTGGCCTAGAGGGAGTTTCCACAACCACATCCTGAGTTGAGGCGGTTTATTTCACTTCTTTTTTTCTTTCTTTCTTTTTTTTTTTTTTTTTCATTATACTGAAGTTTGGTTTTGAGGAAAATATCAAAAGTGTTTTGCTACAGTTTGTACAAACTGCATCAATATTTAATGTTTAAAATAAATCTTTTTGAGTAAAATTGGGCATAAAATTTTACCGAGATAACAGCAACAAAAAAATAGACTCTTGGGAACCAGCAGTTAGCATAATGGCTATGTCGCTGGGCTCCCACGTAGTCGACCGTGGTTCACGTCCCGGACCCGGTGGCTTAAAACTCACGCCGGGCGCACGTGCATGCGTGCCCAAGATCCCGAGAGGAGAATGGAGGAGAAGGGATTGCAGCGTGACCATCCCCCCTGGGAGGTGATTTCTCACTTTCTGTCTCTATGTCTCTCTCTGTCTGTCTGGCGAGCGCACGCGCCCTATAGCAAAAACCTCTCCAAAAAAAAAAAAAATAGACTCTTAACAAGACCATTTCAAACAAGAATTTTATGCCTGCTAAAATCCAAATTTTATCTATCTGTACATGTTAAATTGAGATTTGAGGGGGAGCATTTTTATGAGCATTTTACACTAAATGCCATCAGATTTAAAAAATAGTTGTTTGTATCTCACCAGCTGTTTATATTGAATAAAGGTCAAGATGTTGCAATAATGAAAACTCTTAAACCACAGAGTTCACTCTCTCGCACGGGCTCACATTGGGCCAAAACTACTGATTTATAAACAAATGACTCTACTAAACCGTGATTTTCATATAATATCTCAGAATTAGCTTGATTCATTTTTCTACACTCAAATGTTTCACTATTGTGCAAGTAAAATCTTCAGGGATTGTTGAGATGAAGGAACCTACTGGTTTTATTAATGCAGTTGCAAAGAGGCCCGTAAAAGAACTTCTCCTGAGACAGGCCTTACATGACCCAACTTGTGTAGAAACTGGTGTTGTTAGAGGAGTTGCATCGCTTCCATTGCATTTCCACTTGAAACAACATACAGATAACCCCCTGCTCCCTTTACTTTAAGTCCTTGGAGATAGGAGACATACAACCAAGGAGGTCCTTACCTAATGCATGGTCAAGGAAGGCTGCAGAGTGATTATTCAGCCTGCCTGACTGTTTGATATGTGCAACTGCATTTTAGTGATTTAAATCACCAGTACACTTCAGAGCAGCAAATATTTCTAGCTGGAATCAACTGAGTCTTTTCTTTGTAGGTTGGATACTGGGGTCTGGGAAATCATCTCCAGGAATGCTCTCCCTGTGACTGTGACATTGGAGGTGCTTATTCAAACATGTAAGTCAGTAAAATGATGGCGTTTTGTAGCAATATTCCTCATTACCACATAAAAGCAAATTTTATTCTGATATATGCATAGTCATAGGCAAATGATTTTATTTTATGTTTATTTTTTTTTCCATGAGCAAGAGAGAAAGAGAAGAGGAAAGAAAAAGAAGGGAGAGCTCCCACACACACAAGGCTTTTATGCCATGATCCACCCTCAGTCACAACCAGCCCCAAATAACTCATGTGCCTGGTGTGCTCTGGGAGTTTTCCATACATGAACAGGGAACCTTCCCATTGGGTCAGCTTTGTTTTACTATGTATGGCCCAAAGGAAAGATTGCATTCTATGAGGGTGCTGGAGAACATTAGCTATAGCCCAACTGATTTCTTTTGCTTTAGATATTTCCAAGGGGAAGATAGATAAACAATCCTACTGCCTGAATATTCCACAAGTTGTTGGGATAGACACCTTAAAATATGTGGCTTAATTTGTCTGGAACACCATCTTTTTGCCATTCTATAAAGAGAGATCCTAATGCTCTCTTTTTCCCAGTTTTCAGAACAAAACCAGAGAGCTACGAAAAAAAGTGGCTACCTGGGTTCTGTGGATCTGAATTCACTTTTTTTTTGTTTGTTTGTTTTTTTCAATCACTTTAATTTTTTTTCCATCCAGAGTACACTGTATATTGTCTCAATCAAGCACATCAACAAACATGTTATTGTCAACAAATAATTTTCCATTTCTAGTTTCCTGTATGTTTTGCTTTCCCCCCACCCCCAGCCTTGATTCCCTATCTCTTACCCTCTACCATCTCCCACTCTCTTCCCACAGTCTCTGGTATCTGAATTCACTTTTCAACACCAGTCAGATTGAGTCCATGGCCTGTCAATGCTCTGCACAGAACATGGACTGATCAGTTCCAAGAATTGTTCCAAACTCAGGGGACATCACGTCTAGCAGCCTTGCACTTTCGTTTCACACTTATCCCCTTTACATTCATTCATAATAGGATTTTTTTCCCCAGGTGCTCCCCTGAGGATGGGCAGTGCGAATGCCGCCCCCATATCACTGGCCGCAGCTGCACTGAACCAGCTCCTGGCTACTTCTTTGCTCCATTGAATTTTTATCTCTATGAGGCAGAGGAAGCCACACCACTCCAAGGACTTGCACCTTTGGTTCGTATTTCATTTACCCTGCCATGGACTTTGTTTGATGGTAAATATATGCAACACACTCTTGATATCATGGATAAGGTACCTAGAAAAGAATGCTTTTGCCCACGGCTGCAAATCAGTAGAGTTTATCATATCATGCAACCTCAGATTTTATCAATTCTTAAGGGCAGAGACTGTCTTATCTTTGTATTCCAATTCTGGAACAGAGCCTGGTGATAACATGTGCTTGTTGAGCATCTACTTCTTTGTTTTCCCCATGACACTATAAAGTACGAGAGGGAAGGAGGATCTGTATTATATTCACCATTGTTGCACTAGTGCCTAGCACAGTGTCTGATGCACAATAGGAACTTGATAAATATCTGTTAATAAATGAATGGATAGGGAATAAAAGGTTCTCTAGAGTGGGATACCAAGTCAAACAGTGACTCAGTGGTAAAACAACACCCCATAATCCTGAAGCTATGTGGGAAGGTCCTAGGTTTACATCCATAGGTCTCTATGTGTACACCGGGCGTGCACGCCGATGCCCATGGTCCTGGCTGGCTGCCGGTGGATTGTGGTTTGTTGGGGTTTGTGTCTCTCTCTCACACGATAAATCTTTTTTTTTTTTTTCAAAAACTGGGGCCAAGAGACCAGCAGATGGCATTATGGTTATGTTGTTGGACCCCCACATAGTTGACCATGGTTCAAATCCTGGCCCCGGGCTTAAAACTCACACCAGGTCTGTGTTTGGCAGCTAAATGATGGACATAATAGTAGAGGGAAGCCCAACAAAACCAGGGCTTTGAGGAAAATGGAGTTGGATGGATATGATTTTTCTCCCTTAGTTTGGTTGATAGAATTTGGCTATTCTACTATAACCTCTTGTGTTTGGGTGTGCATGCCCAAAATTCTGAGGGGAAAATGGAGGTGTGGCCATCTGCCCCTGGGGGGTAGGGGTGGGGGGTAATTTCTCACTTTCTATCTTTCTCTGTCTCTCCAACAAGCACAAATGCCCGATAGCAAAAATCTCTAAAGGAAAAAAAGAGTAGGGCCAAATGGCACAGTAGTAAAACACAACTCTCAAAAAAAAGTTTCTCAGTTCAAGTCTAGGGACCTCTTGTGTATGTTAAGACATACATTTGCCCATGATCCAGGGTTGGTTGAGAACTGAGGGTAGATCATGTCATGAAGACCCTGTTGAGAATGTTGTCTTTTTCGGTCTCAGAAGAAATTTTTAAAACTTTAACAAAATAAACTTAAAATAACTTTTAAAAAAGTGTAACTCCAACCATTGCCAAATAAGGCAAAGGACACGGTAATATATGGTGAAAGTCTCTAAAGGAGGTAACAGCAGTTAGCATTATGGCTATGTTGCTGGACTCCCATGTAGTCAACTGCAGTTCGAGTCCCGGACCCGGTGGCTTAAACTCACGTCGGGCGCATGTGTGTGTGTGTGTGCCCAGGATCCCGAGAGGAGAATGGAGGAGAAGGGATTGCGGCATGGCCATACCCCCTGGGGGGGGGGTGATTTCTCGCTTTGTGTCTCTCTGTCTCTGTCTGTCTGGTGAGCACACATGCCCTATAGTGAAAACTTTTAGAGAAAAACAAAAACAAGTCTCTAAAGGGAGAAAACATTTGAAAGTTAATTCCAAAGACAGGAGTTAAATACAATGAATGGAAGCTAAATGATGGACATCATAGTAAAGGGAAGCCCAACAAAACCAGGGCTTTGAGGAAAATGGAGTTGGATGAATATAATTTCTCTCCCTTAGTTTGGCTAATAGAATTTGGCTATCTTACTACAACCTCTTATGGAAAGTTACAAGACCACAATCTACAAAGAACTAGGAATAATTGGTCTAGAAAGTGTCAAATTATGACATCTAATAATTCTTTGAATCACTTTTTCATGCCTGTTGTTGATTTTCTTCATCTTTCTTCTTGAGTCTTCATATTTAAACATGTATACTTTAAAAAAATTAATTTCCAGGGGGTGTATTTGCTTGCTGCCAGAGAAAGGCAAAGAAAAAGAGGGAGGAGAAAGCACTGAACATTAAGGAATGGTCACACTACAATCCCCACCCCACTCCCTTTTCTCCATTCTGTTAGGATTTGGGGCAGATATGCACATGTACCCAGTATGTTTTTCAAGCCACTAGGGCTGGAATTGAAACTATAAAGTCAGCCAGGAACTGGGATCCAGTTCCCCTAACACCAAGTCATAGGCCCAGCCCAGCACTGATACTTTTTTAAAACACACCAAACTAGTATATAAGAAATAAATATTTTCTCAGTTCTCAACTAGTATAGCATCCTTCAAAAAGAAATTTGGACACTTGGTCTTAGGGCCACCAAATATTTCCTGTTTTCACAGAAAAACAAAAAATTATAAGTTGTCTATGTTACTTTTTCCTGAGGATGTCAAATGAGAATCATGATTGGTTTTTAAATTAAGATATAATCTGAAGTCCTTGAACTATGGTATAACTAATACTTTTGATGGCTGCTTAATCTGTCATTTCTTTTTAAGGTATTGGCAACAGCTTTGCCTAAATGTGATGTGTATTTCCAGCAACCAGGAAATGATTTTATAATTGACAAAGGAAATATAATCCTGAAGAGAAATCAGAAGCAAAGCATACATGCTGAAGAACAAAGCACGGTAAGTAACTTCTTAATGCTATTGTCTCGTGCATAAATGAATAATATGGTAATGCACTTAGAACTCTGCTCAGTCCACATAAGTTCTTGGTCCTTGTAAGCTCTTATTATGCTAATGAATAGAAATGGAAAAGGAAGAACTGAGCTCAAAGTAATTAGATCCTCTAGGGAAAACTTCAATCATTTTATTTCTCTTCAAAACAAAACTTTCTGGAAAGCTGGGTTCTAGAGTATTAGAGAGATGGGTACCATAAATTCACACCTTCTTGTTATTTTAGTAAGGAGAGGTAGAGGGATCTCCCTGGGGACAGTGCCATGGCAATGCCTCAATGCTGAGGCAGGTGGAATTGGTTAATGCTGGTGGGTGCCAGAATGATGCCATTTCCTCAGGGCCCTGCCATCAGAAGGCTGGAGGAGACTCGATGACCTGGTAGCTATTCGGTCACTATTCACTCAAAAGTTGGGGCCACTGTAGACCTGTTTGCTCATTCTGTCATTACGCTGAGATCTTTATTGAGCATTCTCGTGTGTATGTGCACAAATGGGGTTGTCAGAGAGGCAAATGAAGCAGCTGTTGGCTGTCATGTTCAGAAACCCAGTACCTGAAATAGTCCCTGACATGTAAGAGACCTTCTTAAGTGAATGAAATGATTGAATGAGTGAAAACAGAAAGATGGCTGTGGGGAAAATAAGCCATGAACACGAACAACTAGTGTGTGGCAGGGTGGGTTAAATACCATACACGAGGTGCACATAACATGATATGGGCTTCAGGTTAAGGAGAAATACTCTGGCTGAGAAGGGCAGAGTTGGCTTTCTGGGTATTGCTCCTCCTACCAGGTGTGTGTGCACCAGACCTTGCAACTTCCCTTTCTGCTATTTGTTTCCATTTCCATGCTATATCCCTGTGAAGCTTCTCTGGTTCTCGATTAAAAATAGCTGTCCTCAATCTGGAAGAGAAGAGAAAGATTCCCCTTCCTTTATCCATGGTGCAAATTAAAGTTTACTGTGCAAGGTTGGCCCTGTAGCCTAATGGATAAGGAAGCACAATCCTACATGGCCAACTATGGTTCAAATCCCAGCCCCAGTTGCTTGAAAAACTCCCCAGGTGCATTTGCGTGCATGCCCAAAATCCCGAAAGAAGAGAGAAATGGAGAAGAAGGGATTTTAGCATGACCGTGCCTTTCTGAAAAACTTATTTTTTTAAAAATGTATCATGCCTGAGTATTTTGCAGGGAGTTCATTTAAAGTGTGAATTCTGGGGCTGACCCTCGAGATGTGTCATCAGGGTATCTGGGGCTGGCCCAGAAACCTACAAGTCAGTCAGGTACCATAAAGTGATTCTGAGACAGGGTCCATGACCGCACTCTGAGCAGAGCTGTCTCGCGTGGTCTCCTAACTCTCACCTGAAATGACTGCCTCTGTGTTATTCATCTGGAAGATCTCTACTTATTCCTTAAGATACAATTCAGATTTATCTTTCTCTGATATTCCCTACCCAGACATCTGGATACAATTTGTGTTTTCCATCTCTGGGGTCCCATAAATTAGAAATCCTCAACCACAGGTCATGCCTTTTAGTAAGTAACCCATAGAATCAATTTGGTGGATCAGATTAGTACGAGTACATGGTAAGGTCACTTTTTGTGTGAAAATTTCATTTCAGGGTTTTTCTTTTTAAGTTTATTTTCCTTCTTTCATGAGACCAAGGTTAAGAGAGAGAGCACACATAATAGAAAGAGAGAAAGAAACAGGGATCCTTGACCAGGTTTCTTCAGACTGGGATCCCACCTAGTTAAGGTTTTAGTGTTTCTTGGGTGGACTCAGGATTCAAACCTACAGCTGGCCTTGTGGCTTCTAGCACTGCACATCAGTTCACTATGGGCCTTGTTCCAGTTTGATGTGTGTGTGTGTGTGTGTGTGTGTGAGTGTGCACACATGAGTATACATAGCACTGTCATTGTCTTAGATTGGACTCCCGGATACAGAGATTATGATGGAGATTCAGATATGTGTGTTTTATTGAAGGAATATTCATCCAAAACAAAACAAACCTATAAAATAGTGATAGAAGTTGACTAGATAAGGAAGATAAGTGAGGCAAGGATGGGGTCTGGGGTAACAACTAGTCTTGGTCCAATCCTCTAGGGAAGTGCAGAAGCATATGTTGTACCACAGAGTTGAGCCCCCGAAGCACAAGAAAAGCCAGACTCTTGTATTCCCATTTGGCCACTCACTCACTGGACTACCAGAACAGGTGTGAGTAACCTCCCAGGTGAGGTACTCTCATCAGCCAAGGGAAGTCCTCAAGGGAAGGGGGCAGTGTAAGCCATAGCTTCCAGAAGTCACAGGAG